CGCAGCTCGACGAGAAAGGGCGTGTCAGGTAGGTACCAACGCCCATTCCCCCAATCTGCTAATTCTTTCAAAAAAAGGATAGCATCCTTGAAGAGAGAGGCTGATGTCATGTTTGCTCTGATTGTTTCTCAGAGAAGGAGATGTTAGGGAGGAGAATGAGAACCAGGTTGCATGTTTTGAGTGAAGACTTGGGTCACATAGTGGTCCTGTGATATCTTCAAATTTTGCAGCACTAGCACCAGAACATTCACAGTGATCTACAGTGACTCTAAGTTTTAAGTGTCACTGTTGTCAGTTGGAGAAACAGAAGGTTGAAGGGTTGGGGACCTGCAGATCATAGGGTTGGGCTTTCTCTTTGGGAACCAAAAAACCACAGTGACAGCTAGCTGAGCTCAGAAAGGGCTGGCTTCTGGGAGCATTATAAGGCAGTGTCAGAGACTGAGGCAGTTAATAAAAACATTTTTTTGGCCTTTTGCAAACTAAATATAACACAAACATCACAACCTATCCCAAGGTTAACATTCCTTTTCATAAGAGGTGTTTCAGAGTCTGTCAACAGGCTATTCCAGCCATTTGGAATAACTAGTGCACTGGCCAACAGTGCCCAGACAAAATACTGGAAATACAAAGATTCATTAGCAAAACAAGACAAAACTGGGTAATAACATGCAAAGACAGAACATCAGTACTGTACGTAGAACACACCAAATATTAGCAGAATGAATGCCAATTAGCAGTCAAAAGACATGATACTACATTCATTTCTGTTGTGACTACGGGAGTTTTTGAAACTGGTTGCTGTAAATCTCAGAGTTCTTATCTTGCTCCCGGACCTTCAGGATTAATTAAGAAAACTTTACCAGAGCTGTGGGATGTTTCAATCAGGTTTTATTCAGGAAGCTAACTCATCCTCAGGACATGATGTGACTACGGGAGTTTTTGAAACTGTTTGCTTTAAATCTCAGAGTTCTTGTCTTGCTCCCGGACCTTCAGGATTAATTAGTAAAACTAACCGGAGTTGTGGGGAGGTTTCAATCAGGGTTTACTGGGGAAGCGGACACACCCCCAGGACATAAAAGGAAGTGTGTCAGCCCACAAGCTTGGTTCGGGTCAAACTGTTTAATTTGTTACAAACTATTACCAACTCTGTTACAAACTGTGAAAACTGGGAAACTGTTATGACTGTCATACTTGTCATCTTAACATTCTGTTAAACTGTGAGTTTTTGGAAGAGGCGTTATTTGCTTGTGTAGAAGAGAACTTCAAAGGTATTTTGCTATCTGGTCTGGCCGACAGTCTCTGGGAGAACTGCTAACGATAATTTACTGTCGGAATGAATTTTGGCTCTTTCTGTTGTTACTGTGAGAGTCATTCTGCTAAGTTTGCTATCTCGTGATCCTATTATCTGGTCGTCTTGTGAATATATTATTCTGGGAGAACTGCTAATGAAAGAATGAAATAAACTTCAAAGGTGTTTTTACTATCTGGTCTGGCGGTGAGTTTCTTGGAAGAGCTGCCAATGACATTTTATTGCCAGAATGAACTTTGGCTTTTGAGTCCATGTGTTTTATAGCTTGTTTGCTGTGGCATTCTAGTCTCTCACTCTGTGGCCTGGGATGGGACAGAACACATTTCTATCCACAATCGAGAGGTAGCTTTAACTGGGAAATTCATTTTAAAGTGAACCAGACTGGAAAATGCAAGAGAACTCTTACAATAATGGCGCGATCATAAGACTTATATCCTATCTATTAATTTATCAAAAAAATATTAAAAGTCTGTCTTTGATTATAACTCAATATATACAGATAGTCGTCAACTGATGGCTGTTCATTCAGCAACTATTCGACGTCAGCCTAAAGTTACAGCTTGTGCAGTCCTCCTGCACTCGTTTGATCAAAATTTGGGTGCTTGCTAGTACACATGTCCTTACCACTGCAAATATGCTGCAACTCCTCCCTGCCCATCCTGTCTCTTCCCCCATCTCAGCCACTCTTTTAGCCAACCAGTATAGGCAAAGCTGCTACGGCCTTAGCCTGTTCCTGGGCTATTTTTCTCGACTCATCATGCACGGGAGGCCCAGACTTTCATCTTGTCCCACTATGTCTGACTTCACTTATCTTTACTTTTTTCCTGCAGCTTTAGAACAACCATCTTCACTAGCTTTCTGGCCAGAAAAGAGCCTCTATAGCCTTCAGAATGATCACCTTCGTTAATAGGGTGGGGAGAAGACCTGAAGGTGTGGTGGAGCGGGGAGAGAATTCAAACCTCCTAGCCTACAACAGGCTTTCCACATGCCTGTGGGCACCAGCCCTCCCAGGGCCATTTCCATCACTGAGATATCCCCCACACATTCACTCAACAACCCTCGCGATTGCTTAACGAGCACAACTGGGAGAGTTGGGATTGTGCTCGGTGAGCAAAGCGGGTATGTGAGTGTCTCACTTAACAGCCAAGATTTTAATCCCAATTGTGATAATTTGAGGACTACCAGTAACTTCTACCAACAGAACTACTTCACCCTAACATAAATATAATTTACTAGAAAAATTACAATAATTGAGATTTAGTTTATTTCATACAAACAGTAATAGTTTAATATGTCTCTATTTTGTTACTAATATGTATTAAATCTTTAATGTATTTGATCAGTCAGCACTGTGTTTGCCTAAAGAATAATGAATATTATAGTAGAGGTTGTTTTCATATTGAAATAGTCTGAGTTGCTATTGAGAATTACATTTTATGCCTAATGTACAAGCAACTTATAAAATAAAAGGCCTCAATTATATTAGCAGTTCATCTCCACGATTCAACCAAGCTATTTTCTCCTGAATTGAAAGAAAAACTAAAAATATTTGTTTGTCACTTGGAAAACTGTGACTTTGTACTATATTTTTATTTTCGTTCCTAAAACTATGTTACAGTGCAGTTTTGAGAGTTCATAGAGGAGGAGGGGAAACTACTTATAGGAAAAATTCAAAATAGTTTTGAGGGTCTGTGCATCCAATTAATAGTGCTTACTACAAAACAGGCTTAGATTGAAAGCTTGTTACTATTTAGATCTGCCTAAATTTTATATGTATATATGAGTTGGCTAATGTAGTGTATAAAAAACTGATGATGGGTAATAAATTGGAGAGATGGGTGGATGGATGGATGGATATAGGTGTGTGTGTATGTGTGTGTGAACTTCTACTAAATAATGGTTCTTCTATGTATGTCTTAGGGAAGCTTGGAAAGCATTGGGTGACACAAGTCTTGAGCAGGCAATGCGAGAGTACATTGATGCTGTGAAAAAATTGGACCCTACATGGAATGCACAGGTATGTCAAACAAGTTGCAGATGTCATTGATGAGGAATCTATAGCCTCCATTGGATGTTGGACTATATCCCCTATTATTCCTTACTATTACTATTAGGTATGTTCCTTACTATTACTATTAGGTATGTTAGATGGGCTAGAAGACCAATAACATCAAAAAAGCATAGTCATCTTTCATTTGATGTGTATAAATAAATTTATGGAGCTTCTTAGTTTTGTAAATCAATGGAGATTGTTATATTTTAAATAAATGGATTACTTCTTTAAAATATATAATGTTAGGTTACTGTTGTTTCTCCAGACTGTTATGCTTTGTTAATACACACTGAACCAGCTAGTCATCTGCCACAATATACTGTAAATTATCAAAAATTCAATGGATGCCTCATTTTTGTTACCTTAATACCAGAACATTGCAATATTCACATTTTTGTTTCACAGATTGCAGCTTGAGAATTCTTGGTCTCATAATCAGTAGCTTAAGGCTAGCTGAAGAATTATAGCCTTGGAAATTAGGTAGTTAAGAGGTGCAACGTTAATTAGTTCTGATGAGTAATTCCTTGGAGGAATACCATATTTTTCAGACTATAAGACGATCCGAAGTATAAGACGCACCTAGCTTTTGGAGAGGAAAACAAGAAAAAAAAAATCTGCCTCTGCCTCCTAACAGCAAACAGCCTGGTCAGCTTCAGCACAACCTGATTGAGCACAAGCAGCTGACTGTCGGTTGGAATTGCCTCCCGACAACCAGCTGTTTCAGGCTGCAGAGATCCATTGCCTATTGCCGCCTCCATGTGCCCCATTTTTGGCCTCCGCATCCCATTTTCTACCTCTGGGGGCCCATTTTCCACCTGTTCCGATCCCCGCCGTCCAGAACGGGCTGAAAATGGGGCGTACGGAGGCGACAATAGGCAATGGCGATCCCTTCAGCCTAAAACAGCTGATCATTGGGAGGCAATTCCAGCCGACAATCAGCTGCTCAAATCAGGCTGTGCTGAAGCTGATCAGGCTGTTTGCTGTTTGCTGCAAGGAGTCAAATTGCTGGAAGGCAGAGGCCAAAGGGTGGGGACCAGTGGATGGGCAGGGCTTCGGCAACATTCGCTGTATAAGATGCACAGATATTTCCACCCATTTGTGGGGGGGAGTGTGTCTTATACACTGAAAAGTACAGTATTTTTATTTAGTGGTTGAGTTTTAAGTTTATTTCATCAGCCATATATGTCCCAAAAATTTTTCAAGCAACAGTTTTGAATTTGTCCCTTAGTTTATTAATGATCACCATGTTAGGCGTGTTTAAAAATAAATATCCTAAGTTTTCTGCATTTGTTCCACTTTGTGTTTTGTATGTTAATATTGATTTGAGACACTGGGGTTCCTTCAGGTACAGTGTTCAACCCCAGCCTTTTCCTTCCATCTTGCTAGAATTGAGGAGACCCTAGTGTTCTGCCTTGTTTGATTGCAGAGGGAACTGCTGACCTACTAACTGTCTTAAGACTATATATTTCATAATGTCCTTTTTAGGATTTTCTAACAATTATAGCAATATTATACTGTATATGAAATTAATACTTTTATATTGCTCCCTATTCAAACTGAATATGCAGAACCCTTCAAAGTGTTTGGCTTAAAACATGCAACCAGGTGTTACTTATTTTTGATTCATCTTTCTTCATGTCTTAATTAAGAGATCAAACCCTTCAGTTTGGAGAAGGTGTGTTTGTCATAGATAAAATATAGGAAGTCACTCTTGAAGGGGTAGAGGAAGCATTATGCTTAACTTCTTTCACCACCAGGAAAAAAGCCCAGAATATTATTTCAAGTCCTTTTCCATCTGCCCAAAGAAATCTCTCCTTTTCCTGCCTTTGGAAAAGTAAAATAGTAGAAAAAGTAGAATAAAAGTAGAATAGGAAATTGATGATTGTGGGCACATTTGAATATGGGGTGGGTGGTGAGGTAACTGCTTAAGATAATTTGTGCCATTTTGTTGTACTTTGGACAATATATTTGCGTATTAACTTGTTCCAAGAAATTTGGAAAACTAAAGTCTGCAATCATCCTATTAAATTATTAATTGTTGCAAATTAAACCGTTGTTAGTTAGCCTAACAACAGTTTAATTTGTTATTCCTTTGTAACATTTTCTAAAGTTACAAATGAAATAATTTGAAAATGGTATATGTCTTAAGATTTATAGTTCAATGTTGACAACGGTGAGTATAGCTAATGGGACTTGGTAACCAGAAGTTTTTAAATGATTTCTTATAAATCTTTTCAACATTTTATTGTAGCTAGTCCATGCAGTTACCACAAGAGGGAGCTCTGATGCTAATAGTGAACGAAAGTTAATTTATCGAGTAATATGGTGGCTTTTTCAGAGCAAAGTACTAAATCAGGCTATTGAAAGGTTATGTGGCCAACTAAATTATATAAATGGAATATTACTTCCTTTCTTTTATTCATCCTTCTGTTGAGGATATAATTGCTCTTTTAATCAGACCAAAGATCTTTCTAATTCAGAGTCTCATTTCCAAAGCAGCTAAACATCTCCTGGAAGCTCATAAAAAAAGGTGTGAAAATTGTAGCCTTTCCTTATGTAATCTCAGATTTCGATTTACAGCAGATGTATATTGTTTCGACTCCTTCATATATTTTTTATTTTAGTGCCTTGCTTTAAAACTTTAAAATGCCTTGGTTTAAGGCTTTAAAATGCCTTGCTTTAAAGCTTTAAAGAGGGCGTGCATAAGCGCACCAACGTGCCTACCGTCCCTGTCCTATTGTTTCTCTTATTCTTTTATTTTTCTTATATGTACCCATTTCATGTATTCACAACTATGTATACGCTTATACTTATTATCTTGTAAACAATTGGCAAATCAAATAAATAAAAAAATAAATAAATAAACTCCTAGAAATGTAACGTAAATAAGTTCAAATGCTTCTAGTCCAAGGGAACAAATATGAGACATTTTGCTTGAAGATAAGGTGAGGAGAACACTGAAAGTAGCTCGTCTGCTCCTAAAAAAAGCAGGCTTGAAAAATAACGAAGTGTTTACCAAAGCTTACCTACTTCAGGCATGAAATAGGTCTAGATGTATATATTTGTTCTCGGAAAATATTTTTCCTTTATAAAATGCCCTCCAGAGGGCAGTACTAGCCAGCCACTGTTGGAAAGTATTAAGAATTAATGTCTCTTACCATTGAAATGTTTTAGATTTGACAGATAAATCATTTATAATTTGCTTGCACTTCAGGCGTGATACAGAAAAAAAGTTGTTGATCATCTGGGTGGCTTTTCTTATGAAAACACTGATAAAATGTGTTGCATTTTATAGCAGTGTAACTATGGGACATGGTCATCGAGCACAGGAGTTCTCAAACATTTCCCACCCACTCCCAGACCCTTTACATTCTTACAAATTATTAAAGACCCTAAAAAGTTGTGGTTTATGTAGTCTATATCAATGTTTACTGTATTAGAAATTAAAACTGAGCACAGTAATTTTAAAATATTTCTTTGACTCCATGAAGCATGTGAAAGGGACTCTCTAGACCTCACTTTTAAGAACTGCTTGATGTAGCAAGTAGAATGGACTCAATTTATTTTAGTGGCTCACAGTGTTTCCCAACTAAATCCCTTGTCCAAGATATCACACTTTTGCTTAAAAACCTGAAAAGTAGTTTTACTAGCACATACGGTGTTGTTGTCATAAAATTAACATATTTACAAAGAAAATAATTTCTCATTAATTCTACCTTATAAAACCTTTTAAAAAAGAATATCACATTACAAGTAGTCCTCAACTTAAAACCATTCATTTAGTGACTGTTTGAAGTCACAACACACTGAAAAAATGTGACTTACAACCAGTTTTCACACTTAAGGCAATTGCAGGATCCCCATGGTCACATGATAAAAAATTTGGGCGCTTGGCAACTGGCATGCATTTATGACAGTTGCACGATCCCAGGTCATGCGATCACCAATTGTAACTTCCAAGCCAGTTTTGTGCAAGCAAAGTCAATGGGGAAAGTCAGATTTGCTTAACAACTACATTATTCAGTTAACAACTGATTTGCTTTAACTGGGGCAAAAAAGGTTGCAAAATGGGGTAAAATTCATTTAACGACTGTCTTGCTTAGGAATAGAAATTTTGGTCTCCATTGTGGTCGTAATTCGAACACTACCTGTAAACCATAATCAACCCAGTTTAACTAAATTGAAAATTATGGATAATAGTCTCATCTTTATTGCCAGTTGCAGTATTCCACAGTCACATGACTGTAATTTATGATACTTTTTTGTCATTTTTGGGGCTCTTTGCAAGAAAATACGCCCATAGAATACATTGATTTGTATAACAATGGTGGTATTCGTTTAACAACTAGGTGTTTACTTAATGATCACCACAAAAAAGGCATGAAATCATGTCCAGTCATGTGTCCACTCAACTTACAACCATGATGACTTATGCTGGAAATGCTGAGTTCCATTATAGTTGTAAATTGAGGACTACCTCATAAAGGTTTACTATACAACATCATGTTTTAATTGAGATATTATTTCTATGTTTTTGGTGTAAAATATAAGACGTCAAATGAAATGTAGGATCTCTAAACTTAACTGGAAAGTTAACATTAATGAGAGAACACTACAAGCAAAATCAGACTTTAGATCTCTCTCTTGAGTATGCAAAATACAGTAGATGTTGCATTATTGATTTTCATAGTTAGCAATCAGGAAAACACATGATTAGTTTGAAATTTCAAAAGAAAATTGCTAAGTCTTCACCTAATTTATTTGTAGCATTACATCATTGCTTTCCCTTTTCATTTTGCTAACATAAATTGTGTATTATATTAATTATAGATCTTTCATAACAGAGATTCATAAATTATTGAAGTTTTCAATACAGACAGTTTCATTGTGTTATAAAAGATTATATACATTAAAATAAACTTTGCATAGTTATATATTCATGTAGTATAATTTTGTTTCTCCAA